ATAAAAGTTGCCACACAAATGATCCGGGATTCAATGTTCTGACCGCGGTGGTTCTGCATTTAAGTTTCTGTCTTTATCATTGACCCGATTATTAATACATCTTTTTATTAAATATTTTAATTTATTGACACGCAATTTGATTATTTACAAGTACCTACGAACAAACTATTTTATAAACTCTTCGGGGTATGCTCGCAGTGCCATACAATTTACAATAAATTATCATTCTTGAAATCTTTTTAAATTAATTGGGTACACCCAATGTCGTCTTTAAATATTTTTTTTATTGAACCCGTGCTTGTCCCGAGAATTCGGGACATTCTGAAGAAACCTGCAGGCGTCATAGCGCTCCAAAATTTATGTGATTGCCTATTTAACCTTTTTCTCCTTATCACTTTTATGTACTTGATAACTAATTCAAATTATTTGGCGCTATAAACCAATATTATAAAATAGGTAGAATAGGTATACAATATTAGAATATAGATTATTATATTTAATGGTGTACTATATTTTGTTATATGCAAAGTACCAAACAATAATTAAACAATTCATTTATCATTGATATTAGTATTTTATTTTAATAGTTGATTATTTGCCTTACGAAATTATTTTAATAATTGATGTAACAATTTTCTTATATTTTAGAAACTGTTTTTTTTTAATTTACATATTTAAAAATATTTGTTTGCCATGGGTTGAAACCTTTATGCTGAGCTTTCTTGCAATAATACAGGAAAATAAAATCTTGGAATTTCATTCCATATATTTCCAAGTGAGCAAAACGTGTAATTTTTAGAGATTTTATTTTTTATTTAATTTTAATTAAATTACAATCCTAATTTCTATACAATTTTTATTATTGATGTAGTCAATGTGTAAAATTAACACAAATATAATTATTTATAGTTTGGAATAAAAGGAACTGGCCTCAGTAAAATACAAGGTGATATGTTCAACAACTTTAAAAATGAAGAATATTCAATTTAGAAATTTAATGTCTATATATTATAGTTATTTTAAGATAATTGTATTTTATTTTCTTATTAGATAATTATTAACAAGATTCTAACCAACAATTGTTAATTATTAAATCTACCTACTTCTGTATGTAACCAAGACTGTATTGGATAAGTAGAATACATCAATTTGGCGTCCCAATGTTTTGAGTCCATTATTAAAGATAATGCTGAATAACACAATTGGTAATAAGTAAGTGTTTTTTGATGTTCTTAAAAATATAATATTACCAAATCATTAAAACAATCTTATTTTCAGTTAATGGTAGACCATTTAGTCAACAACCGAAGTATTGAGTTCAAAAGTTAATGAAATGTTATGCAACATTTATTAAAATTTTAGTGATTGTTTAAAAATTAAATATAACTGTTCAAAATATTTTAAATTAACAATTAATAATAATTATTTTTTAATCTTTTAACTTAATATAAAAGTTCACAGCAACCTGAAGAAATTTTGTGTACTTTTATATCCAAATCTTCAATTAGTTCAACAATTGACTCTGAAATATAATCTATGATGAAGATCTTGCCGGTAAATTTAATTAATTCTAGTTGAATATTTAAATTTTTATTTTCACTAATATATTATTTTACATTTTAGTGTCCAATTTAGTCAATGAGAACACACCACATAGTGAATTAGTTCAACCTTCAAATATTAAGGACGAAACAAGTAAATTATCTATTATTAAATACTTTTAGTTTTTATTATATGATGCTTTGTGCTTTTATTAGAATTATAACTTCTAGATCTTGCTTGATATTCACTTTCTACTCTAACTCTAAACTACCATTTTGCCTAGTTTAACCAGTTACCTATCCACAAAGACTCCACAAGCATGTTTCCTACTCCTAAAATGAATGATGACTAACTTCATTATTCATTAATATAACTTGCCAGCAAAAATTTTATTTTTACTACTGGTTTTTTAGTGAATTGTTTAAGGTTTATTAGTTATTATATTTAATTAAATTTTTTACATTTATTTAATTCTCATTTAATATAACACTGACAAAATAAAAAAGTAACATATATATTTAATTTAAATATAATCACTTTTGTTGAAAAATAAAACCGGTGTCCGAGAAAAAATAATACAAATTGTTGATGTTTGTAAACCTTTGAAGATATGTAATGCATGTAAACCAGAATTCTTAAAAAAAATTGTTAAATGTATAAATAAATAGTTTCATGATATAGTTTATGATTATATACTAATTTCAAAATTATGGTATACACTATTTTAAAATAATATAGTAGGTATCTACATTTTTTATACGGTTTTAATAATATTTTGTGGTAATTATATAATTATTTTTCCAAAACTATTAATATCATTAAAAATTAACTTTAAACCTATAGAACTGTATCAAAATATAATTTGTAAAAACTAGGGAATCATCAACTATTACTCTATGAAACAAACCTTATTTTATAAGTATAGTTATATTATATATTTAATCTCTACTTTGACAAACGACATTAATATTATTGTCTGGATTCCTAACTCTGGAGTACTGTATACTTGTAGATTAATTATTAATTGATTGATCTGGTAGTTGAAATAATATGAGTATTGTACCTGATGATAACATTTTATCATTTGTTTTAGTTATTGACTGAGTGCTATTGAGATTTTAATAATACGTTTTATATTTTTATAATAAATATGGAATACGGATTTTATGTTTTTAGACTTCAAATTTATTAATGTTATCATTATCAAGTACAATATTCGTATAATTGATAACAATCATTAGTATCATTGGTGTTCTATATTTTGGAAAACACATACGAACATATACCAGCACCTCAACTCATAATGTGGTGTGAACCCGCCTTTACTCTATGATTTTACTATAAAAATGTAGATTTTCAATACACTGTAGTATACCATAGAATAACCTTAACACCAAGATAAATAGGTTTGAAGTGTCTATGTAAGACGTATAGACAGATATACATGGTATGTATATCTTAAATCGTGCTGAATACTAATTGTCAACATAATACTTTTTAGATGGCAGATAGATTTAAGAACACAGTAACATACGGATAGTAAACAGTCAATGGGTTAAGGCATATATAGGACCGTGGTTAAAGACAGTATTATCTTTAACCATGTTTGATAATTTTGTTATGATCACAGATAAACCTTTTTTTTGTTATAAATTCAGTCGATTACAGCACCAAAGTGTTATCATATAATATGATAGTATCACCTATATTCTAAAGTTTGTCAATAAAGTATATATAATTTATAATTATAGATATCTAGTCAATCAGTAGCCAGTACTTAACTTTTTTTTCATAATTTTTTTATACGATCAAAAATCAATATTTTGGTAATAAATATATATACAAATGTAATGTACGTTTATCTTCTACTACCACGATAAGAGTCAACTAGCCTACGCACAAAATCGAAAACCTTTAGTTCACGTTCTTTTGTCTCTGTGTATTAACGTATGTGTGTTTATTAAAGTTTTTATTGATCCCAGTTTGTGTTAATGCGTAACAATTATGTCTCGTAAAGATTTGACGTTGGTTGAATAAATAGGAAATGGGGAGTTATTTTTAAAAATTGATGATGATGTGCAGTGCTTTAATGAAAATGAGAATTACGATAATATTCTTGACGAAATTGCTGAGAGAAGTCTGCAAAATGAAGAAAGTGATGAAAATGACGACGTTCAACCCGTCAAAATTACAACAAGAGAAGCAGAAAAGTGCATTGATCAGCTGAGACTATATTTCATGCAAAATGGAAACGAAAATGTCCCAACAACTTCACTAGATGTTTGTGCAGATTTTATCANTACTAATAATAATAATAATAATTATATGTAATTTTTAAATAAAGTATGAATAGTAAGTATGTATATATTTTTTAAATAAAGTTTTTTAGTTTTTTTAAAGTTGTTTTTTTCGTCAGTTCGGCTAATCGGGACAGTCGGATAATGGGGACAAATAGGTTACCGCCCGATGTGTCCCCATTAAGCGGATTCTTCTGTAATTATAAATATATTGTATAAAATCATAATGTCAAATCAAGTGGAACCACATTTTCAAATTGCATATTGGTGAGGTGTTCAAAAATGTATTCAAGTGACGCTTTGTATAATATTAAAACTAAATGTAGGATTGTGTCACAGCTAATAATCACTTATTTTTATTTTACTCGTTTAAACTATAATTTTATTAATTTAAATATTCCTCTTCTCCTTCGCTTTTATCCCAATTATTTGTGGTTGGCCACTTTTATTCTAAACTTTCACTTAACCCGATCTTCAGGTTAATATTACTTTATATATTTTTAAAGTGATTTATAAATTGGTTGAAGTTAAGTTTGTATAGAATAAGGTTAGATTGCCTGGAATATTTATACGATTTTAGTTAGGAAATCCAATAGATAAATATAGGTATAACCAAAAATAAAATATTATGATATCTATTCTATTGTAAAAAATCTAAATTTAATTAATATATTTTTAGGTAAAAATTCACTTTTATTGAAAAATAATAATTTTATTTTAAAAATCATTCTAAACATTTTATGTCTTGGTTTTACAAAGATGTTTTTTTTCTATGTGAACAATTTCCACCAGAAAGCTTATTCTTATATATACAATGAATAATATTTTCTCAAAGGAATTTTTCTTGGGTGGTACTTTAGAGAGGTAATTTTTTGATTTTCTAAGAAGTTTTCTCATGAAATGTGAAAAACCGAAAAACATTAAAACTGAGGAAAAATGAAAGAAAATCTAACTGGAAAGATACTGTAAAATCATTTTTTGATTTTTCCAAAAGTTTTCTCAATAAAGGGTAAAAACGAGAAAATTGGTGCAATATAAAACAAATATTATTAAAGATAATATATAATACTTACCTAATTATTTTCCCACTATATGACATATAGTTGACAAAACATCACTAACAACTGAACTTCGCTCAGATTAATTTTTTTATTAGCAATGCTTTATCATTGTTTACAGATAAACATTAAATACTCTTCTGTATCCTACCTTGCCAACTTTCCATCTATAACAGTGTCTTCACCCATTCCTATTATCTAAGAACAGCTTTTTCTTACTTTTTCTGCTGTAAATGTTTCAATTTTTTTTATCATAGATCTATGAATTGGCAATAGTATGCCCATTACTGATAAGTACTATGTCAGATAACTTGTGCTGAAGCATGATAGAAATAATAATTATTCCTTTTTTTTTTAAATAATCTTTCACTAATTTTAACTTAGAAAATGAATGATCTGCACTTATTAATGTCACTGGCATGGGTGCCCGCAGGAAATTTATCAGGGCAGTGTCTTAGTAAAGTTTTTAATGACACTTTTATTTTTTTTTCATAATATGACTAAATAAAACCTTTCTGGCCCTTTGATGACCGAGCTGACAAGGTGAAGGATATAATAAAATTGAACACAAAAAAAATGATAAAAAAATTGTATAAATTATCTTATTATCAAAAATTATATTTGAAATTTTAAAGTCCAAGGGGGGGCAGATGCCCCATCTTACCTCCTACGGGCGCCTATAATTATTTTTATAGTGAGTATTATTCAGATACCTACTTCTAAACTGAGAAATGAGCTAGAAGCATTTTTTAAACATGCTAATGCTTGAAGTTATATTCTATTTTATTTCAAAAATGTATCTTTACATTTGATAAAATATTTTAACTAACTATCAATCAGATAATTAAAATCTTAATTAGTAATGTTTTAAAAATCAAGCCAACAATTTTTAATTAAGTCATAATTGTGGTATTTTAGATTTCCGGTTCTATACAAAAATTTGAAAATGAATTTTGATATTAAAATGTTTATACTATGCAACCATAGAACAATCAATAAGAGTCAAAAAGTAATCAAGACAAATAGCTACTATTGGACTGATTGTTAATTCATTGTTACTATTATAATTATTTATTTTTCTTTGTAGCTATCAGTTACACCAATAGATTTAACAATGTAAATTCCAACACTTTTAGTGTTTTCAAATACATTTATGGAATTTTTTAAAACCAATAATGTCTTTATACAGATCCCAGGAAAGATTTGATTATTCATACTCTATCAATGCTAATCACTTATTATGAGTTCTCAATAAAGTATTATTATTTAGGCACTATATGTTGTAAAGCCCTAAAAGTGCTTGGTTTTATTAAAATTATTTGCCGAGTTTAAATAACTAAGTAATTAAGAAATCTAATAAATGGCTATATTGACTCTCCTATTCAACATATATCCATTGTTTATACCTAAGTACAACACCAATTATGTTAAGAACCAGTCAATCTTTAGAATAATAGTATGGCAAATAGTAATCCATCAGCTATTTAGTTTTTTGTTATACATATATAATTTTTTTTTTTTATATTTTATTTGTTATTATTAATTCTGTAATTGGGCTCAGTGAAAATGAAATTAAAAAACAAAATAAAATATACATACCTACCTTATAGGTATGCTGTCTACATACCTTTAATGTATAGCTACATAATATAAAGTACTAAAGATTACTAGAATACTAGATTGGAAAATAAATTTTAACCAATTATTGTAAAACTGATTTAGGAACAAATTGAATACAATTGATGACAAATCTACACCAAAAAATGTTTGTTTGTTAATGGCTGACAGTAATGACGAAGATGAGTTTCCAGTTAATTCAATAACTCCAGATGGTCCAGTAACTGTATAAACCGAATTTTAATCGAAAATAACCATTGATTTGTTGTGCAAAGTAGTATTTAAAGTTTAACTATAAAGATAAGATAAGATATGAAATTCATGGTACTATAGATATTATATGGCATAGGCAATAATACATTTTTTTTAAAAAATTAATTTAAATTTAAATCACATATTGATATTGAATTTTTCACTTTTTCTTGTTACCTATTCAGTGTGGTTTTACACAAGAAATCGGTGGTTATTTTCAATTAAAACAACCCAACAGCTTGTATTTGTACATTTGCAACTCTAAAACTAAGCCAGAGAGAAGACTCTTCTTATTCTGACAATAAAAAAAACTTTTTTATCAAAATCTCAACAATTACGAATAATAATAATGAAAAATATTTTAAATTTTTTTTAACATTTTAAATGAATTCCGAAAATGCTATTTTTCAAGGTTTGTGTTCAAAATGGATTAGGACAGAGGAAGGCAATAGGCGGTCTGTGGAAAGGAAATAAACAGACTGCTAAAATGTTTTTACTTAAACGCTGGTTTTTTGTTTTCATTATTTGTTTCTGTGTGAATCCAGAATATTTAAGCATTTGAACATAATTTATATTTATGATATTACATTTGGAGTATTTGTATTTTATTATAAAATTGTACTTTTAATATAAAAAAAAATATATTTAATAATTTATAAATTTATGTTTTTACTGGAGATATTATTTAAGACTGAACATAAAATAGGTAAAGGTTGAACTTTTTTTTATCTTCGCTTAACTCTAAAATACTACTAAAATATATGGTCCTCGAATTTTTTTTTTCTAATTATCTGCCCCACCTTAAAAACTAATTGCCAACCCTCAGATTAAGCATTAGAAGACACACATTTTGAAAAAAATAAAATATTGTTTAATGTTACATATCATTACATACATATATATATATATATATATATATATATAATATTGATAATGTAAATTTTACGATAAGTCAAAATTTGGGTGATAATGATACCTGGAATTATTTTGTTGGCCACCACTAATTTGTACTATTATGTAAAAATAATATTATTTGTATCAAAAATACTCAAATGTGGCCATACTTTGCTTGCATTTAAATTGTAATAAATAAAGACAACAAAACAATGTTTACTATGTTACATGTTAAAAGAATGTGAAATACAGATATCAATAAAATATGCTAAAATCCTAGTAACATTTTGTCATGAAATAATTAATTACTTGGTGATGATACTTCTGTGGTAGGAGTATTAATTTCATTGGCATTTATTTTGCATGTACTATCATTGTTGTTTATGGGACTGATTTTATTCAATGAAGTATTATATATTGGCAGGACCTTGTTTTTGTTTAAGATTTCAATTACTTTTTCAACTGAAATTGATTGATCAGCAATATTCATTTCTATAGCAATATCTGTTGCATTTTGCTTTTTACGAGGCTCTCTTAAGTTAATTGGTGGCAATTGGTTACGTGCCTTTTTGTGAAACTCACTATAAAACAAATATTATTTCATTAATTAATAACATTTTACACATTTTAGTTACAAACAAAAATTAAAATACTGACGCTCTGAAGATATCTTCTGAGTAAAATATATTAGGTATTTTATATGACTTGGCAGGCTTTGCATAATGTGGTTCTGACTCTGGAGGAAATGCCTTGTACACGTCATACCAAATGGGTCTATCTTCAATTTTCATTGCACCAGATTTAATTAATCCATTTACCCTTAACATACATTAATAATTCAAAATATCACATTTTATAAAAAGAATAAGTCATTTTGGTTATTAATCATGCAATTGATAGCCAGCAAAAAGTATCTAAATTTTAATGTGTTAAAATTCGAAATTAAAAATTAGGTAGTAAATACACAAAATTGCAGTCAATATCAATGATACCTAAATTACCTCGAAAATATAGTTCCGAGTTTTTCCAAACGACTTCCAGCCATATTTGTATGGAAATTGTGACTAAATAAAACTATTGGTTAAACTAATATTAATACAATACAGCTTTAATGAATGAGTACAGAAAATAAAATAATATAGAAGAGAAAATGTATCCCATAGAGTAATCAGACTATCAAGTATCAGTATACCACCCATTGAATATTATAGGATACCTCTACCGCGGTTACCTAACAGATTATCTGCGGTCAAATATGCGACGGTTTAAGATGAGATTACCATCTAATCTTAATAACTATAAAACAATTGAAAATAAAACAGCTGAACCGTATTTTAGTCGATAATATTTCAACCGACCGTACTTAAGCTGCACATGAAATTATCAGAAAATATTTCCACCAATTTCGGCCGAAAATAGATAATCGAACGTATTTCAGCCGAATCGCCTAAAACTACTAATTGTCAACTTATATATTTTTTATCATTATTTTTAATCAAAAAATGTTAAATTAGATAATTTGGAAATTTAAACGTCAATATCTTGAACAAAAATTAAAAAATTTGAAAGAACATCCAAATATTGAGTTATAATTCTGACATAATTTTGAACAAACAAATAAAACGACAACATTTTTAATATTTTCTATGATAAAAATATATATTATTCAATTAAGTTTAAAATTATTACCTATTATTTTTAATTTCAACCATTTGTAAGCATTTGAATTATTCAAGTATAGATAAACATCCATTTAGATACACATGTTGGATTTATTATCAAAACTAAACCAATATATTTTCAATTAACTTCATTTTTTAAAAATTCTAAAACCATAGAATGGGTTACTTAGGACTTGTGGTTAACTTGTTTTTGATTTTAAAATAATATGTACGGAATTTTTCTCCTTTTTATTTATTTCTTATCACACGTTATCGTTTTTTGGAAGATCTGACCTTATTTCTTTAGTACAATCAGTTGTAATATTTGTCGGTTTAAATACTGTTCGACCGAAATATTTTTCTACTTAAATACAGTTCGGATTAAATATTTTCAGCTTAAATAATGTTCGGCTGATTTATTTTTGGTTATTTTACGTGCTTCCAAGATGATTCACCGTACAAGAAATTCGTAAGCGCAAACCGGTGTGCAATACATATAATACATAAATCATATACAATATGATTCCGATTCATAACACTGGTCCGTGTTGATCTACACTGGTTTAGATAGAAATTTGGTAAATAGATCGGTTTACCCCTCCCATAAATTATCACATTTTAGAAATGTACATTCCCGACTTTTTATATTATCTATGTTAACTATCACTGTAGACAAATTAAAATTTGTAAGAAACACATAATTTTCTTACTCCATTAATCCTCTAGGTCAGTGTTTCCCAACCAATGGTCCGTGAGCCAGTCATCGGTGATCCATGGTCCCATAGGTTTTTTTTGATTTTTTTTGATTTCTTTTGCTCGTTCATTACAAAAAAAAAAAAAAAAAGAATTATGAAAAAATATAGTATCCATTGTGTTTTTCCACTTTTAAAAGTGTTTATCAAAGTAATGAATAATGTTATAATAATGTTGTTACTGCCGACGATAGATTAGTGTGTTTCAACTTTTATAAGTGTATTAGGTAACAAAGATTTTTTACTTTGATAAAAGTATTTATTAAATACCATTAAATAACGATTTATTAAATATTATTATTGCGATCGATAATTGTTTACCGATTGCATAGTTTCTCAAATATTTAGTTATGAGATTAATCGAATTTTTACGTTTTTACGTATTTTTACTGAGTATACAACTCCAATTGGTTAAGCTTTATCAACGATTCTTTTTCTTATGAACTGATATACAAATATTTACAATACAATGTATTGTTATTTTATTTTTTAATAAACCATACCTAATATCAATATAAACATGTGAATTATAGACTAAATTAATCTTAGGGATGGATACTATGTTCCTAAATTTTGTTTGAGTATTTTACACTTATGTAAGTCCACATGTTGGTAATTTTATATATATTTTTAGGTTGGGATACTTGTTTAAAATTTTTATGTTTGCCAAATAAATTGTAGTTGTACGTGTATAAAACATTATTAGTGAAAGATAAATTGTTTCCATTATTATCAAAATAATTATTACTTACAATTTTGTTTCTCCTGAACAATTTTAAAAAGTGAACTTATCTAGTTGTTACAAGGAGCCCATCAATTGAGGTGGTCCGCGACCTATTAAAAATTATCGAAATGGTCCGTGGTAGTAAAAAGGTTGGGAAACACTGCTCTAGGTATATGAAATTATAACATTTTTAAAATGGAAAATGAAAATGATTATTTAAAGAATTTGTTCTCAGTAAAAACAGTATTCTAAATCTTAGAGTTTTATAATTTCCTGCTAGAAAAAGTAAGAACATTTTATTAAATTAAATTAAAATATATTCCAATATGAAAATAGCTGTGCTACATAATACATATTATATGGTAGGCATTTATTTTATCATAAACACTTCCAACATCATTGGTATTAAATAAGTATTCTTTTATAATAAATAATGTACGTATTTAAAATAATAATTAATAAATTAAGTTGTACGTTAGAGCTGTAGTAACATAGAAAAAGATTTGTTGCAGTCGTACAAGCTTGTAGTTTAAAATTTAAATATCTGTGATAACAGATAATGATGATAATTAACGTGTTAATAAATTAAATAAGAGGAAATTTCAAGTTTATGGTGGGTACGGATTGTGATTGGTATTTTTTGACCTTCTTGATATCATTGTCGAAAAAAAGTAAACCGGTGTTCCTCACTTTTAAATCAGTTTAATACATCAAATTTCTTAAAACTACACCGGTTTACTATTTAATTAAGGGGAAATAAATATAAATCGGTTTGCGCTGACGAATTTCTTGATAGGATATTTCTATACGCAGGACAGTTGTAAAGCTGCATGCCTTATCATTTAATACGTTACCAAATTTAATTTTCTTTAATATTTTTACAAACATATAACCATACAAAACCTTGTTTCAAAAAATTCGTTGGTACAGACTGGTGTAAATTTCCTCTTGAAAATTATACCAGTGTGAATTTGAGAAATTTTTTGGAGTAACCGGTGTTAAAATTAATTAATTTAATTTGTCTGCTCCTTCACATACATATGGTGCAAATTATTTACACCGGTTTCATCCCCTCTCGAAATAATAAATGAACAGATAAGTGATAATAATAATAATTTAATTTATAACAATTAATACCTATTCAAATTAATTTAACTTATTAGTGAAAAATGGGAAGTGAAGTAAAGGTAATACACTAATAATTTAAATAATTCATACATTTTATGTAGGATTATCATTGTTAATTTTAGACAATGGTATGGATACACCGATTTCTATCTTCGAATATCTAAAATTATGTAAAATAATGGATATCAAATCCTATTAAACTAGTAAAAAATTTATCATTACACCGGTTTGTGCCAACAAATTTCTAGAAAATAACAACTTTATATTGATACGTTAACGTCGTTAACAGAGAATTAAAACTAAATTACTTATTAAATATGTACCTAATAAACTGGAAATATAATTTACCTTTCTATTTAAGTATCTATTTACATATAATTATACAAATTGTATATATTTTTAAATTAATGAATGAAAAATTTTTATGGTTAACAGCAAACACAATAAAATATTTACCATAGTTCAGTTTGATTTCATTTAAATTTGAAAAAGTTAAATTTAGGTTCAGTTTGACTTCAAAAATCTGGGTTCATAATATCACTAATAAATAATTTATAAAACTAACAATGAAGTAACTTTGCACCAAATATTATGTTTCTTCAACCTAAAATATACACTGTCACTTTAATAGTTATGATAGAATTTTACAAATTTCATAGAAGCATTTGACATTATTGAGAATTTTAATTGATTATAGCTCTCATACATTAACGTTCATTAACATATAATATATAAATATTCCAAATTTTTTTTACATAATTTATCATTATTGAATCATATAATTGTAATTTAAAAAGTAATAAAATTGTATATACTAAATAAATAATAAAATAATGGTTTTTATAATGTATAACATATTGAAATAATTTGAAAACAACAATATTTTCGACTGATGAATTTTAATTATAAGGGCATTTTGATTGATTTTACTTTGATGCTTTTTTTTTTTTTTATTAAGATATTAAAAACAAAACATTTAATATACATCAAAATTAAATTTGTTACACAATTGATTAACTTTCCTCCTGTAAGCTTATGCAGCTTGTGTTGGAGATAAGGAGCTATGATTACTACTAAATTTTTATATATAATAAATAAGAACATAGTGTAAATATATTTCAATTTAAAAAAAAAAAAATTTAAATACATCTTGAAACAACTCAAAAAATATATAAACTAGTTTATTTTCTAAATAACAATGTTAAAGGAAAATAAATAAATACAAACAAATCAAAAATATGTGCTATAGGTATAGGTACAATAAATAAAAAATAATGAAATAAAATTGGGTTGTATTACCGTAAATCCTTATCTAATTCAAAGAATAAATATTTGTATGTTAGATCTTTAATATTTACAATTTCATTACCAAGTATTTTTTTTTTAAAGTCATAGGGCATAGAGTTAAAAGAAGTTGGACCCTGAAAGTCTATAAATTGCTGACCGAAATTAGCATATTTAACAGTCAAATCATATTTTTTCATTTCCCTTTTGTTGATTACCTCCTTTTGATCGTTATTTAAATTAAATTTCTTAACTAAATACATAATTGCAATTTTTTATATATAAAAACCTTATAGGCAATACACCAAATTCTTTATAGTCAGTGTTTGTAGATTCTTGCAGAGTAAATTTATTTAGACAAATCCTAACTATATTATTTTGATTAATTACTAATGCATTTAAGATGCTATCTCGAAGGCCTCCCCATACTAATATGCCATATTGAAAGTTTAATTGATAAAGTGCAAAGTAAACTATTTTCATTGTTTGTTTTGGTACTAAGTTTTTAAGTTTAACCATTTTAAAAGTAACGAAATGTAGCTTCCCTAATAAATTGTTTATATGAAAATTGCATCTTAAGTTAATATCAACAATAACACTTAAGTATCAAATTTTTTCAACTATTTTAATTATTAAGCAGTTTTGTGAATAACAAATTTTATTCTTTATGCAGTCATGAATTACTAAGGTGTTGTAGTTAAAAGATGTTTTATTAATAGAGAACGGCATTAAAACAGTTTTATCAACATTTAAAGATAGATTTCTAACATTTAAACTTTTTATTATCAGACTGAAACCTCTGCAGGCTTTATCATATACACCATCCCATGGTTTATGAGAGAATAGAAGACAAGTGTGGCCAGCATAGGTAATTATTTTCCCATTAAAATGAATAGAACACATTTCGTTAACATATAATATAAATAGTATCGGACTCAATACACTACCTTGTGGTACTCCATTTTTAATTGCATATGTGCTACCATTTGTTTTTGACTCCATTGATTTTAACTGTCTGCCTTCTATTATATAAGTAGCTTTTAAACCAGTTTAGGCTCAAGTTATTTATTCCAAAACTCGGTAATATATTTAATAAAATTTCATGATTTACCGAATCAAAAGCCTTGGCTAGGTTTAAAATAATTGCTATTGATTTATTGCTGTTATCTAAATTACTATATAAAAATTGAGCAACTATATAAAGAGCATTATCAGTGCTTAAACCTGATCTAAAGCCAAATTAGTTTTTTGATAATAATTTATTTTTTTTTTAAAAAATTCTATTTGATAATTTTTTCAAATAATTTTGAAAAATTGCTCAATATGAATATCAACCTATAGTTGTTCATACTTGATTTATTACCTCCTTTAAATAAGGGTTTAACATCTGCTACTTTTAAGGTTTCAGGAAAAATATTTTGAATAATACTTAAGTTATATATATAGGCAAGAAGATGCACCACAAATTTATTAATATGTTTTAAAATTTTGATGGATACTTTATCTAAACCTGCAGCTGTATCGCCTTTAAGGCTATTAATAATATCAAGTAAGTCCGATGATTTAATTTTTTTTAGAAACATCATTAAACAAAACGTTTTTATGAACATGGTTTATTCTTGAAATGATTGGTTTATTTAAACTATTCAGTGCGATATTTATAAAGAAATTATTTAATATATTAGATGCAGTTATTGGATCATTTTTTGCATTTATTTCACAGTCATTATTTTTTAGTTTGATAATATCATTATTAGAACTCAATTTAGAACCGATAATTTCACTTATTAATTTTCATGTCAGTTTTGGATTAGAACTTACATTTCTAAATTTGATAGGTACATTTGTATTTGTTTTTTTAACATGCAATTTTAATGTTTGAAAATCCACAATTTACCAAAAAGAAATTTTATCTGATACAGATTTATCCATGGGTAGATTCAAAAGTGAAGTTTCAATAGCATGGTTGTGTACACATGGAAGAGAAATTAGTAATAAATATATTTCTCTAATATTTATGTGCTTGTGTTTATCTTGAATATCATGTTTTAACCTTTCTATTAACTGAAAATTAAAAATTAATTATTTATTAAATATGTGTCTTAAATTTAGTCTCTAAAATTTGAATAGCATACATGAATGTTTTAATGCATCAGTATAATATGTATAATTATTATTTATATATATTTATTCAACCTGTTTTTTAACTAAACAGTTCTTTAAAAATTAAATATTCTGGAAAACACTTCAATTTAATCATAATCATGGTTGTTAGGCAATTAAACTTTTTAGTATTATTTAATGAAAATCTACTATTTGTTTGAAACGGGTGATCATTCAATATGAACCTAAGGAAGATGTGTTAATGTTTATATAATTTATTAGAAGTACAAGAATAACTTAACATTTCTACAATTATTATTAGATTTTCTAAATGGTTCATTTACACACTCATAATATACATGTTTTTCAATATTAAATGGACTACCTATAATTCAAATTGGAAAATTTCCTCATCCAAGTGAAAACCTGTATTCAGATTTGATTTTTGAATATGACAAAAAAATTTTTAAATTATTAAATGACAAAAATTTGAATAAATTACCATCATGTTTTCTTGCCTTTGCTACAACAAAACTAAAACCAAGTCCCAATAACTGTTTGTGAAATAAATCAAAATCATTTGATTCTCCTTTAATATCTGTTTTACTGATTTTCGATAAGTTCGTTTATTATAATTTTTAAACAATTCAAATATTTAGTATTGTCCATTGTTATTTATGTAAAAAAACTTAATTTTTAATAGGCCAATATAAATAAATAAATAGATGTTTGTCTAAAGCAGGAATATACAGTACTAGTAATAGGAGACTATATATAAGAAAGTATATTATATATAGGTAAATGGAACAATACTGAGAACCACCGAGCTCTCTTATCAAATATCGCTGGCAGAATATCCGTATATATTTTATTATCATATAACTATGAATGTCGAATTACATTTTTAATACCATTAATATTTATTATATCTATCAACTCATAAACTCAAATTGTATACTTATTATCCTGTACAGTATATTTTAATTATTAAAAGTTGAAAATATATAAGAATAGAATACTTTATTATATGTCTATGGTCCAGCCAGATAATTACAGATTGCTGATAAAGTAATCCGCTTGATTACTTCCTCTCTAGGCGTTTCAGCGGTTTGCAGATATGCTAATTTTATGAGTACTCGATAACGGTAATTTATGCACACGTATCGTCGTATTATCATAATAAAATATAGATATATTGACCAGTTAAACGATGCTATTTAGTATATACTTCATAGAACAAATTTTTTTTTTTCTTTTTCAGTGCCAACTCACTATTAATTATAGGCTACAATTGTAGTGTACAGCAATTTGTATACTTATATTTCTAACAGTATTCTTGTTGATTGATTCGTAAGTAAAATAATTTAAACAAATTGGTAGTAAAATTTTTTTTATATGACTAATTATAATTAATATTATATTGAAAAAATGTTCAAGAATTTAATGAATAAAATAAAAATACCATTTTTGACTTACTCTAGACCAAAATTTATAAAAATGTTTTCTAACATCACAAGGCCACTTGATGGTAAAACAGCAATAGTCACTGCATCTACTGATGGGTAAAACTAAAAAAATTTATTATTTAAAATTTGTAATTCTTTCTTTTAAACTTAATCAAATCTGATTATTGTCATTTCATTTAGAATTGGCTTAGCTACTGCTCATAAATTAGCTTGTGATGGAGCATCTGTTATGATTAGTAGTAGAAGAAAACATAATGTTGAAAGAGCATTAAGCATACTTAAGAAAGAATATGGTGATGAAAAGATTCAAGGAGTAGTGTGCCATGTATCAAATAAAGACGACAGAAATAATTTAATCCAAGAGGTGAGTAATTTTTATTATAATACAAAACTTATTTAATTAAAAAAAAAAAATTAACCTAATTGAAAATTTTGTTAGTTTTTACTCCATTTTCAAGGTTCTTATTATTCAAATATCAATTTTTATTGTTTAGTAAAATTATTTATTTTTAGACTATTAAATTATTTGGTGGAATTGATATATTTGTGTCCAATGCTGCAACAAACCCTACATCAGGGTCAATATTAGATGTAAGAATTTTGTTAAATTAATAAATGTATTATAAACTTTTATTTGTATTATATTATGCAACTATTACATATAATAATTTGTTAATTAGTGCGATGAAGAAATATGGGATAAAATATTTGATGTTAATGTTAAAAGTGCATTTTTTCTAACAAAAGAAATAGTTCCACATATGATTTCTAGGGGAGGAGGTTCAATTGTATATGTTTCTTCGATAGCCGGAATCTCTCCAATGCCAGTAAAACTATACTATTAAATCATATAATTACATAAAGTCTATATAATTACATTATATAGGGTCATAATTTTTTGGTTACAGATTAGAGAAGTTACGTTGTTTCCCATATTAGATTTTGAGCATAGCGAGCGATTTTTATTCAGAAAGTGCTCTATTGATAAAATTGTAGACTAAACAGAAATGCTTGAAACTTTAACAAGGGGTTCATTATATGTCGTACTTTGAGTAAAAAAAAAAAATTGAGCCTCTAATGTAATAATTTTTCATAAAGAAATTTTAACATCAAATTTTGATGTTTAAGTAAAAAATTATGTGGAATAAAACTAGATACTGGTCCATGCAAATTTTACAATTCTTTTTATGTTGATCATATGTATACTTACTGTCGATTTAAGAATGATGGTGAAATTTGAATTGAGTAGACTGACTTAGTTTTGAAATTATAAATTTTTGAAGTTCTAATATATAGATGTTATAAAATATGTTATGTTCAATAACTCAAATTGTTAATTTCATAGTATGTATGTCATAGCTAGTGGTGGTATGTATTTGATGTCTTCCCAAGGGTTGCAATTTCAAATCAGAGTTTTGTAAAAAAATAATTTGAGTTTAATGTAGTATTTCTTTTTTTCATAAATTTCAAAATCAAATTTTGACAAAAATCTTAAATATTATGGCATTTCAAAACATAACCGAACTTCCTTTTGAATTGTTTTTTTATCAATGGTTAGGTTAGGTTGGTTACAGGTATAAATTAAATAACTTTATACATCCTACCTTCCCCACTACCCACATAATATAACAGTGGCCACACCTAGTGTCCCCACTATCAGCTGTTTCCTTTTTTTTTTTTTTTTTTTTTTTTTGTATTTTATAACTATGAGGTATTGGCTGTAATTGGTTGATATCAATTTACATTTTATCTTGTTTACATTACGTATAACCCAAATTACAATATATTAATATATTTAGACTTAATAATAGATAGATGTGGATGATGTTTTGTTAAAAGACCCTCTATCAAGTTACAATTTTTTATAGAAAGCAAAAAAAAAAACTGTTGCAAATTAACAGCAAAACAGTTTTTAATGGTGTTTATCATGGAAAATATTAAAATTACTCCTTGTAATGGACACTGTACATAAAGTATACATGCATTGAAAGTGGTATATGCTCTTAATAAAACACCATTGATGTTATAATGGTTTTTAAGCTGTTCCAGTGAAGGGTTGACAGAATGGAGGATGTATTATAATGGATATGATGCAACAACTGAAACATATGAGGGATATTTTTTTTCTTCATGTGTATGATTTTGCAATAAGTTAATAGAAGTTTCTATTTTTCTTGAGATGTCTGATGGTGATGTTCATTAAAATCTGAAATTTCTGGTTTTCAAACAATTTTATCTATAGAGTACCTATCAATTAAAAATTATGTTAAGAACTAACAAAATTAAAATATCTAAAATGTTTTGATAATTTTACCATGTATAGAAAAGACAAATTTATGTATTCTGTTTCTACCCAAATTTTAAATTTCAGACAAAATAACAAAATTGAAAATATTAAATTTCATACATTTTTTTCCTGTTTTATTCCAATTCAATATGAAATGACCCCTCTCCCTAAACTATCATCCTGATAAAATTTCCTTTCAGAAATTGTGATATATTTGAAAATTGGAATAAAATTTCTGGTAGAAAAGTTACAGAAAAAAAAAATTAACATCATTCTAAAACCAATACATTCCTTGCTCTGCTCAAAATCTAAAATGTTTAAATTGTATAATACAGTTTGTGATTCTTACCTAAAAGTTTCAAAATGATTATATTTATTATTTAAATTGTGTGAATATTAGACAAATAAAAATAAAAATATAGTTAAAACTTACATCAGTTTTTAAATTTATATACATGATTTATAGATGTTGGGTGTATATTCAGTTAGTAAAACTGCACTTCTTGGACTAACGAAAGTAATTGCAGCAGATTTAGCAGAGAAAAATATAAGAGTTAATTGTGTTGCTCCTGGAATTGTAAAAACAAAATTTGCTTCAATAGTAAGTATTATTAATTTATTTAAAATGTGTGTAATTTAATTAAAAAATAATTTTAAACATAGGAGATTATATGCATATTAATTAAGATAAAAACTTAAAATAATATATAAGTGCAAACATTAATTTGTAATTATAAACAATTACTTTTCTAATATTTCTTCTCTGCAAACATCTAGTTATAATTTATTTGATTTCATTATGTAAATAAATTGGGTTTAATATTTTTACAGTTAACTGAAAATGAATCACTCAGCAAATATATATTACAAACAGTACCAATGAAGCGGTAATTTTCATCACTTATGTATAACATGAACTGTAATTTTTAATTATTTAAAAAATTTTTTTTAGATTTGGTAAAACAGACGAAATTGGTTCTGTTATTTCATTTTTATGTTCAAATGCATCATCTTTTATTACTGGGGAAGTTATAGTAGCATCTGGAGGCATGACATCCAGACTTTAAGTTTATACTTCACTGCTTCATTTAAAAAAATAATTATGTTAACTAAATTTTATTTTGGTCTTATTGCAGTTGGAGCATATTTTTTTTAAATATATAGTTTATGTTTAATTAATTGAAACATGTTTCTTTGATAGAGAAGTGATTAAATATTTCAAACCAATATTTACATTTAAAAAAAAAAAAAAAATGTTTTATTTTTATATAAATATATATGATTTTGTAGGTAATTATTTGAAAAAAATATTTAATTTAATTAGAATAACGCATTTGTATCAACAAACAAAACATCAAACAACCTGTGTGGTTTAGTAATACACAATTTTGTTTCACAAAAATAGTTCTCGCTTCTCCAGGTTTAATCAGGTATATAATAATATAGGCTCTCTAATAAGTTTATTGGGCAATCTTTACATGTAAAAACCCTAACAGACATAATATTAGACATATTTATTGCAAAAATCTCTGGCAATATTTATTGTAATAGTTGAACTTCTATAATCTACATTTCAATCATTGTTCTAGACTTTTAACACTCAATTATCTCAGTGATTTAAATTTAACAGGAGTGATTTCTTGCGATTGTTTGTGACTTGTATCCGGGCGATTACTTTCGTGTGAATACATTGTTTAAAATATAGCTGTTTAATTTTGAGCAAATGATTTTAAAATGCGTTTGTCGTGTGAACATTCGCTTCGTGTGTAATAAGATTATTGGTAAAGTAATTATACGTATTATATATTTTCTTAAATCATATTCGTTTAATATTCTTTCGATTTTTTTGTTTTTCTCATTTGTTGAGAAAATCCAAAAACGACCACCCTAACGTACCTTCCCAGTTAGTTTTTCTAAGAAAAAGTGCTATAATTGTAAATCAGATCAAAATTGCTGGTAGAAAAGTTGTTCACAGGAAAAAAGAAAGCCATAATATTTTTTAACTAATAAATACATTTCGTATATTTTCCCTTTTTTCCTCACTTTATTCTCTTTATCGGAAATACTACCGGGAAAATTAAAAAATGACTTACTTAAAATACAACCCTAAGAAAATTTTCTTTCGGAAAAAGGTCTACATCGTATACATCGGAGCAAGATTTCTGGTAGAATTTTTGTATAAAGTATAAAAAAGAAGAAAAAAAATAAACATCACTGTAAAACCAATACATATTTCGCTACAACCAGAAGTCAGAATCTAAAAGAGTTGATGCTATAAAAAAATAGGGACGGGTGCGGCTACTGTTGTAGATGGGTAGTTGGGAAGGTGAGTTACATATAGTTATTTAATTTATACCTGTAAGTTGTAACCAACTTTATTGTTAGCGAAAGATAATGCGGACCGAAGTTCGGTTACACATGTTATGAAAGGACATAATATTTACGATTTCCGTCAAAATTTCAAGCATTTCTGTTTAGTCATAAGAATTGTATCCATACATGGAGTATACCTAGTACCTACCTACCAAATAAAAATTACGTAAAAACCTCGCAAAATTAAAACGAATAGCTTCTGTTAAAATTTTAAGTCTGTACAAATATTTTTATCTGAAACATATTAAAAAAAAAAATGAATCTTAGCACTGTAATCAAATTATCAGTTTTCATATTTTGTCATTTTTCGGTTTTTCTCAATTATTACAAAAATTATAAAAAAAAAAAAAAAAAAAAACGAAAAACTTACTCATGAATTAAATTAAAAATGCAACAGAAAAGGTCTCTTGTATTTATGGTATAAGCAATACAAATCAGGGTCTAAAATACATCTACTTTCAGGGGACACTTTTTAATTCAATTGTTACCTTTAATAAATTCCCATACCAAAAAAAAATTGTGGGGATTGTAGTGTTTAAAATTCTACCCCCTTTTATAACCACTTACCTTATACATTGATATTATTTATATGATGGTTTAGACTAAAAATACACAAAAGAAACAAATACAATTTAGCTCCCAAGCGATATTTTAGAATATTTTTTTTTCAAAATATGTGTTTTTACATGCTATGTGTATTATATGACTAGTTTCGAATTAAAAATTCATCATCAGGTATATCACAGTCAAAATGTAAAATAGGAAATAGGAATAGACAGAAAAATAATTATACAAATTGGTTTTTTTACACAAAAATAATTTATTTTAAAAGAAACTTCTTTCAATATGTATAAGGGTATATATTATATTTTTACCATATAAACATATTTAATTTACATTTTGAAATCAACAACAGGTTATACTAATATTGACAACAACAATAAATAGTTTAGAAAATAATTTAACCATTGTCAGCCTTTAAGTTGCATTCTTTTAATCTAACCTACAATTTTATCTATAGGCAACTAAGTACCTAATTATAAAATTTAAATTAATATATTATTAATTATAAAGTATTTATAAAGATTATACTTGAGATTATATAATATATAACAAAATATTTAACTTCTTAAAAATTAATTAAATAACAACTAGTCTTTTAGTAACCTTTCCCTAACAAAAAAACTTAAATTAAAATATAAATAAATAACGTAAGAAATCAAATATCATATGTCCTCACTGATCTCTTGTCTTCATCAAGTCCAAAACTATATTATCTAAATTTACTTTAGTAATATCGTCTATTGTTCAGAAAAATCGTTTTTGAATTTTATATGTAGTTAAAAGAAATCCCTATTTATTTGCAATAATGAGACCTTCTAGCTTCTATGAGATTCATAACTTTTAAATATTGCTGTTGATGGTAGATTTTGGAATTTCAAACTGTAATAGTGCTTCAAATTCAGACAAAAATTTCGATTTTAATAGTTTCTTATAGTTATAAAAAAAATTGTTTTAATATTGTAATGTACTGATCTAACAGTTAGTTATTTTATGTTATATGAATTACCTAACGAAATAAATAAGTTAGGTACTATTAAGTCGAATTTTAAAAAATGATATTACCTAAGATCTTATGATAAAAAACAAAATTATATTAAATACAACAAATGAGAAGTGAAAAAAGTGTCTCTTAATAAATATGTTTCTCAAGTCAATTATTACATTAGTAAATCATGATTGATTTGATGCCGTTTAAGCTATTGGTAAAGTCTTACTTTCTATAAATTAATATATTGTTACGGGCGTCGTCCCGCTTCTTGTTAGTACCATATATCTTATTATACAGCATAAAGTATGGGATTTACTGCAACACAATAATAGGTAGTTTACCACGCCGCAATGCGAACGGCTGTGGTAAGAATTGTATATTTGAATATTTTGAATATTAATGTAACGTGTAAATTAAGGCAATAGCCGATTGAACACATATGCGCGCATTTAGTATGACCCGGATATTAGGGGCCAAATGCGTGAGGTTATCGTCTGACTACGCAATAACATGTTATTGTTGAAAAGCGCGAACTAAGCATATCTAGTTGGGGGGGGACCAGTATATATATACCGGCTGACAAAAACACCTTTTCGAACAAGTCTCACTACTATCATCTACAACAACTTTCATATCAGATACGTTTGTACTTTAATTAATAGCGTTTGAATATTTTCAACAATAAATAACTGTAATTATAAAAAGAGCTGATAGTGGGGATGGAAGCGGTCAATGTTATGGGTGAGAAGTTGACAAGGTAGGATATATAAGGTTATTTCGTTTATACCCGTAAGCAACGATAACCCATTGCTTGACGAAAGACAATGCCGAGCGCAGTTCGGTAATACATAATTTAAAGTGCCGTAATTTATTTTGGCCTTACTTTCTTATGTTTTTTCCCGATTATTATGAAAACTAATTCGAAAATCAAAAAACAAACTGCATAATATATAACAAAATAAATAATTCAATAAAAAATATTAATACTTAAAATTAAGTACTACCTAGTAGTATGATAGGCAATTAATCCCAAAGTAAATAGGGAAGGAAGGTGATAAGGAACACCGATTTGTTTTATTACAATAAAAAGTTATAACATAAGTAATTATTGATGACATAAATCTAACATTGTATAATTCGTTACTTAAGCTTAATTTATATATGTGAAATAGAGATACTAAATACATTTTAATTTTTACCTCAAAGCTAATATTTATAAAGTTAAACAACGTTCATGTGGGATTATGTGAGACCATTCTTTTAAATTCTTCAATCACTTCATTAATGTCGACATTTTTTGCCATTGTTTGTTCAATGTAGGGAAGCATTCAATTTTCCAATCATTCTTGAGTCGTTGACATTCGTAGTTTAGTTTTAATATGAGCGAGTTTCGAAAAAGCTCTTTCACATGACACTCTCGCGACAGGTATTATGGAGAGACCTTTTAAAGCTTCACTGTATTGAAAAAGAACAAATGGTCTTAGTACCATTTTAACCAAAATGTAGTTTTTATTAGTAGGTAATAATATTATCTAAATCTTTGTTTCGTCCCTTTATAAGACGTATTTCACTCTCAAATTTATACTAGACTGGGCCAGGACCCAGTTGGCTTAGGCCGTAGTTTCGTCTATGGGTCTCTCGTGTATTTATAACCATCTCGTGTGAAAGGCGCTCACACAAAAAACTTTTTGTGTGTTGTAGTCTGCAATAAAGTGTTTCGTCTGAAAGCACTATAGGGAAACGAGTTGTATTATTGTAGAAGAGTGTAATGGTAGCATAACAAATTTAACATTATTTTATTTATTTTAAAAAATATAAGAAGTTTCATTATTAGTATCATGTTAATAGTTTAATAAACTCTAATTATTGGTAATTAGGTATAGGTAGGTACTTATAATCGTAAAAACATTAATTAATATTATTATATAGTTTATTTTATCAACAATATAGACTAGTTATTCCTATTTTGCCATTCCCTGACTTATTGTCATAAGATTAATATTTTTTAAATTCAATTAAATTGAACAATGTATTATTCAAAATGTATTAACATAGCTCCAGTTTTAGTGTATTTAAAATCCACCAAATAATAATACTAATTTCCAAACCTGAATACATTATTTAAGATAATATTTTTATTTTATGTAATAATAATTATTACATAGGAACTTATCTATTTCAAAAATGTAAAATTATACTTACAATAGTTTAGAATATTACTATTATTATTATGAAGAATTTCTGCAAAACTTCCTAAATTAAAAAGCGCAATACAATACTATTGCACAATTGCACATAATATTTTTTATCAAAAGATTGACATAATCTTTATAGTTCTACATTTTAGAGTACACAACAATTATTCTAATTGTTCCTAAAACTTTTTACAGAAATATTAATTGCTTATTTTATATGAACTACATACAAAGACTTCTTATTCAATTCATAAAAAGTAATACAAAAAGTAATTAATTTCTATTCATGTTATTGTAAATATTTTAAATAATCTGTACATTAATAAATTTATTCATAAATCAAGTAAAATAATTCTGTATCAATCATAGTTGATAAAATTATGAAAAAAAAAAAAAAAAAAACAGGATGTACATTAATAATACAATAATTCTTTAATGAGTGAGTAAAATTCTTAAGTACATAATAATATATTTGCTAATTAATAGTTAGCCTATTGTAGTTACAAAGCCATTTCAACACACACTAGTTACATAAAGTAGAACATAATATTTTATTATAGAAAATTGTTAATTTGTTTTTATCATATTTGTGAGAGATGGAGAAAAGACAACCCGTAAAATGGATAATTTAAGTGGTTGTACAACAATAATTTAAGAGTATCCTATAAAGTATGATTTTAAATCAATCACTGCTTTTTTTTTTTTTTATCTAACATTGGTATTAATAAAGGATAATAATAATTATCAAAGTATTTTTATATTACATATTAAAATTAATGTTTATTCTTAAATATTAAAATACATGCAATATCAATTAAAATAATTGATAAGATAATTTGATTATCTTATTTAAACTAATCTTAACTTATAATTATAGAGGAAATTATGTTTTTTTTTTTTTTTTTTGGGGGGGGGCCGAAGGGGAAGGCATTAAAAGAGACTCCATGGACAATGACATCATTTGAACATGAAAGATCATTTAACCAATTGTTCACAAAACCCAAAAACTTCAAAAAAAAAAACTGAAAAGAATAGATGAGGAAACCAATGTGTACTACCTACTTCCTTCAAAATACTGGAATGAAACAACAATATAATAACTAAAAAAACAGTAAAACTATAATTATTTTAGCTCATCCCAGAACCTAATCACACTACAATAAAGACCCAATTTTAGGAAAAAATTAAAACATTAAAAATCTAACTGGGACTAATCTAAAACATTAAAGTATGTACAATATATACATAAGCAAAAATATTGACTTCTTTTCTTTCGATGTTAATTTGTAGCTTAATTCAGCCTTATTGATTTGATGCTGATTCAAGTGTTCCTGGAGAATAAAAATTAATTACGATTAATTTAAAGATTTTTGGACTAAATTTCAGCCTATTAAAGGTGAATACATTTAAATTTTGAGTAAAAAGATTAGTTATTCAAATATTTATTAATATAATAACTATGTAAACTTATATCTAGAAACTTTTGGTTTGTTTTTTTTTTCTTTCGATTAGCAAATAATTGTACTGAACATCAAAATATGTCTAATAAAATAATAAAATAAAAACATAATTATCAAAATGATTAAAATTCGTAAATTAATAAAGTAAATAAACATATAAATACAAAATATGCATATAAAAAAAAAAAAATATAAATGAATGAATTGGATGTGACTTTTTCAACATCAAAGAAAAATTACTACACAAGAAGAATGAGAAATGGC